CAGACACACACACACACACACATGCACACACACTTTTTCACCAATACAATGACTCATGCCACGAAATGCGGCAAATCCAGCGCAGACGGCTCCGCTCATCAGTGACAACCATTTCGCACGCAGAACCATATCGTGCAGTCTGCCTCGTCATCTTACGCAGAAGAAATCGACATAAAAAAAAACAAAAAAAACAAACAATCTTCATGGCTACACCGAGCGCAATGGCAGCAACATAATCAACAAACGATTCGATGGGCTACATCGTCGAACGACCACGGATGGTGGCAGCGATCTCCATAAGTGCGTGACACATCATCCTCTGCGTCTCGTCAGACGCCGCATAGTGCGGTTTTTTGACCGCTACTTCCTGCGCGAGTATGTCGCACTGTCGTTCTTGTATGTCGCATTGCCTCGATGAAATGCTTCATTGTCGTTTTCGTCATGGCGGGCCATGACATCAGCGATGGACTCCAACGCCTGTTGGCGCGCATTCTTACGCTTCCCGCCTCCGACAACACTGCATGCGTTCACGTCGGAGTCCCTTGCAGAATATCTTTCTTCGGGGCAGCCCTCACCACTGCCCTCACTGTCAACAGACTCCCCGCCACCCGCTCCTCTCCTGGGCAGCTGCACCCCGTCCGGACTGCCGCTGTCAGCGATGTTGGGAGGGAAAATAGTATGGTTCCCCAACATGCCGGAGTGGATCTCGTTGTACAGCGCCCTCTCCATCCGGAACTTGAAGTTGTGCTCCTTCGTTTCGTCGTTGGACAACTTGAAGAAATCTGGCCGCCCGCTCGCGTTCTGAAACCTCTATATCTTCTTGTAGTTTTGGAACAAATTGTTCCATTTCTTCATGCAGTCGTGTGCGTCTTTAGGGCTCCCACCGTTCGCCATGCGCTTCGCAATGTCGACCCACTTCCGCTCCTTCGTCCGCATCTGGCCGTAATTGTGGCCCAGCCCGGCGAGGTGCATCTCCTGTTCCCGCTTGCATCTGACGAGGAGCATCTGCTCGTCCGTCGACCAGTACGTCGCAGACTTCCCTCCGTCCTCGGTGACGCCACCTCTGCCGCCACGGCCAACGGATCGACCACGGCCACCACGGTTGCTGCGTCCWATMCCCCTCCCMCCCGTCTTCCCCACAGGCCGAACAACATTCTCGTCGTCGTAGTCAACCGCTTCGACTTTCTCCCAGAATCCTTTGTCGGCATCGTCACCGCCACAGCAATTGTCATCTGACGAGGGAGGCAGCGGTGTCTCCCACGACGGCAGATGGTTGTACATGGACGGGTCGTACCGCCGTGAAGGCTCCGTCGTCGCAGGTCTTCTTCTGCCCTCAGCTGCAGGCAGAACAACACGTGTCTTCATGCCCGCCATGGGATGTTCCTCTTGAAGCACGGCGTGATCTTTCGTCTACGCCCTGCGCTTTCGACGTTGCTTCCACGACCGACACGACAAGCACACGTGGAGGAAGATGACAAAGAGGAAGACGACCACAATGAGCAGCAGCAGAGGCAATCTCCTCTGCATATCTGCCATGAATTCGACGTCGAAAGGCGACCTTGCACGTGATGTCCTGCTGAACTTTCTCTTCGCATGCCCGCGGACAAGGCTGCTGGACCTTCATATGCCGTCGACCGGCAGCGAAGACGACGAACGTTGGAGCCTCCGATTAAAAAACCGACCGTTGGCGCCCACGCCGCCTCCGTGTGTCGTCGTGAAGACGTCTGGGGACTCCTCCGTTGCCCGCACCCGAGCTAACGGTCTGCAACAGCCGCCCGCCTTGCCACGCTTCGCCCCGCGCGTTCCACCCCACCGACCAACGACTATCGGTGGGGGCCGTTGCCGTCGTCGACCGCCAGAAAACCTCCGATGTCCGCCCACCGGCCCGATGGACCTCTCCTGGACTAGCGCCTCCATGTCGACGGTGCCATTCTCGCGACACGACGACTCCGTGAAACGCGGGAATCCTAAATTTTTCAGTAGGTCCGGGGCTACTGAAAATTTAGGACGATTAGGCTGGGGAATCCTAAATCTTTTAGGACGAGTCCTAACGCCGTTTTCACATTTTTTATTTCCGCATCCCATTTAGGATTGCGTGCAACCAAGACGCAATCCTAAAAACATGAACTTTTAGGAGTGTCTAACGAGACCCTAAGTCTGTGGGAGACCTCTTGCATAATCATAGGTCGATGGCTCGAACGTCTTCCGATGTGTGCACCTGTATGGACTGTTGCGACTCCTTTTCCCAAAATGATGATGGTCATGTTCTTTTTCGTTTCTCAAAGCAACCTATTCTCCCGACGTCTTTGAAGAACTCTAAAAAATTTAATATTTTGTGTCCATCCAAAACTCTGTCCGTTGGTAAGATTGGGACTGACGCTCCCCAGAATAGAAGGAGCCAGGACCACATGACCCTGTTAAAAAAAAAAAAAAAAAAAAAAAAAAGGGCACTCGAAGATGGTTTGAACCATATCCTGAGTACAGACGGGTGGGTCGGTAGTTCCAAGATGATTCTTTCTTGTTTCGCTAATACATGTATTGGAGAAGTTTTCTATGAAGAAGAAGCTGCAAACTGGAAGAGGTATTTGAAAAGCTTGGTTGTGTCTCCTATTGAACAAAATATAGGTGACACTCTGGTATGTTGCTCAGCAATCTACAATGAGGCTCTCGCTAAATTAAATCTAGGGGTAACTACGGCGCAGTCACGAAAGCAGTTTGTAATTGCATTTAAAACTGCGATTTAGCAGTTTAGTTAGGGCCCGAGTTTCAATTGCAGCTGAAACTCAGGCTGCGTAGTTCAGTCAGGGGTTTCGTCTATCCACGAACAGCACATTAAAAAAAAAAAAAAAAAAAACATCCCTTATGCTGTGATTGCGGTCCTATACAGGATGCTACAATGTTTGTCTGGAACTGAATGAAGCGAGGCAGTTAGCTGCCTCGCGTGGAATCCGCCCTGCCTGGCTGGCAGGGCCTACAAGGACCTCACACAAGAAACAAAAAAGGAAAACGACCTGTTTCATGTTCCTCACTTCCTGGCCAGATACATTCCTCAAAGCAATGGTAAGGTGAGGGTCTTCCCGACGTAGGTGGATTCGAAGTTCCTCGTTTCTTTACTTTTTTATTTCTTATTTTTCTTTATTCTGTTTTTGGCCTCCATCCCTGCCCCGAGCCCCCCACTTCTTCGGAGTAGGCTACTCTTTAGACTTCGCGTTTTCCTGTGAAGGGTAGTACCTGCGAATCTCGGCTGTGGCCAATCTGGGGTGTGACCGAGACATCTTGGCCGTGGCCAGTCTAGGGTGTGGCCGAGGCATCTTGGTCGTGGCTCAACCTTAGGGCTGTTTTTTTTTTTTTTCCTGGCGGGGAGGGGCACGGCGCGTTACAGCACGCAACAAAAAAAAAAAAAAAAAAAAAAGGAAAAAAAAAAACGAAGAAAGAAAGAAACGACCATGTGCCTGATTGAACTGCTACAAAAAGCCAATCCGAGTTTCAAACTGCTACAACGCAGTTTCAAATGCAATTGAAACTCGGACCCTGACTAAACTGGTAAAACGCTGTTCCAAATGCAATTACAAACTGTAACCCTGACAGCACCGTACTTTTTTCTTAAATCTATATCAATGGGAAAATGAAGGTTTTGTGATAGTTAAAAAAATAGAATAGGAAGTTTTGGCAATATGTAAGGGCATGTACTATGAAATACAGGCCCAAAGGTTGGCTCCTTGGAACACTCGAGGGTTACTAGGTTCGCCTGGTTTAGCATATGGGATACCCAAGCACAAGGATATTACGAGGTGGAGACCCATTGCCCTGTCTTTTTCTGAACCAAGCATTCGTGCATGCCAGATTGTGTCTAAGGCTATCAATAGGCTCTTATGGAGGTTACCCGAATCAAGTCATTTTCTCTGACGGGATAATGCTATCAGCTAGCTTCGATATAAATGAGATGTTTACCAAACTACCGCATGCAGCCATTGTCTGTGTGGTTGAGTGGTTGTGCGACTTTTTTGTTGGCAAAGGTCACAGAGCTATCAGAGTCAATAGATCAGGGAAAGGTACTGCATTGGGCAAGGCGTATGGTGAGCAAGGATGGTGTCGTGTGAAGTTTTCTGACATCATCCGGTTCGTTGAATTTGACCTTGGTCACACCTTTTCTAAAGCCTTTCACTTTATTATTAGACATGCCACTGGGATCCCTATGGGAAAGACCTCGAGTCCGGCGTGAGTCTGCCTCCTCTGTGCTTACCACGAATTTTCTTTTATAAGTTCACCGGGTAAAGATCGGGATTTAATCCAAGGGTTAAGATTGGTGGATGATGTAGCATTATTTCTCACCTTTCCTGATAGGACTCAGGGCTCTTTCGACAAGGCAAGGAACATTTATCAACAATTTATTTTAGAGTGCTAGGAATCTCCCTAACAGCAGAATGCATACCTAAAACTAACAATGAATGGATTATGCAACAGGCTCAAACAAAGTTTGAATTATAGAAAATAAACACACATCTCTAATAGGCCGTACTTTAGCCATCAACAATGTTGTGCTAGCCTCGATATGGTATAAATCAGCTATATGGGTTCTAGACAAAGAGGCCCTTAAAGTTTTCCAATAACAATTAAAAGCTTTTCTTTGAAGAGATAATCATGAATACCAAAATGTTATTAGTCGAGTTGCTTGGCAATCAGTGATCCAACCAAAATCCAGGGGAGGGCTGGGCATTATCGACCCAGCCACTCAAGCATCAGCCTTATCCATCCAATGGATCAAGCGCCTACTTTTTAACCCCCAAACTCCATGGAGTGCTCTTGCTGGGGAACAAATAAGGAGGTTAGCTCCCCCTGCACCAGAGAGGATTGATCCATTGATGTGGTTAGAGAATCGGGCCTGGTCCCCCCCAAGAGGTAGCACTAAGGAAGATTATAATCATACACCTTCAGATAGACAAGTAGCACGGAAGGATTTGGACCACTTTGCTTAAAACATGGAGAAGGCTTCCTCTTACGGATAAACTAGCACCAGACAGATGGGAGGAAGTATGTCAACAACCCATTTTTAATAACAGATGGATTAGAGACCATCAAGGGAATGTTCTTCATTATATGGACTCCCCTTTGAACGGTTGGATAGCGAGAGGTATCATAAGGATTAAAGACATATGGAACCCAGAAAGTAACAACTGGAAGACAACATTGGACCTACAAAACCAATTGAGATATTGCCACCATAATGATGAGAATCTGGAAAAGATAATAAAGCTAATTCCTCTAGAATGGTTTCGCATCCTGCGCAATGGCCCCAAATTCGAGATAAACGACTGGGTAGCAATTCAAGGGCATATGAATATCATCGGTAATATCCTGGTCATATTCAATAATGGGGATATTCTCTTGTCTCTCTTCCACTTAACACAAGATCACTCGGTTACCCCAAACCAACAAGAGAAGATTCAATGGGTGGAAAAAAAATCAGATCTTTAGAATTCGGGTTCTGTCAAAAACCAACTCATTGCTGGCCTTCAGGCCCTCTACTCCAATCTCACATTTGGATCTCGATCCAATATACAGGGTTTGGAACAACCTGGGTACTAAAGGAATAAACTATGAACGAACTCTTCATTCCTTAACGGTAAAGTCTACTTACCGGATGTTGAGACCAAAACTAAATTTGAGAGATAGGGTGTTAACTAGATGGATGAATCACCTAAATCTGAGTAAGGAGGACTTTAGCTCAATCAAATGGTTCAAGATCATGAAAGAAAAACCAGCTAAAATGGCTTTACTTCAGTGGCAAATATAACATAGATGTCTTCCTACCAATGACTGGCTCATAGACAGGTCTTCACTAGAACAAAGAGGCATAGCTGTCCCCTGGTGCAAATTATGTCGATTAGTCTTTCCCTCCAAATTAATTCCTAAGACGATTGAACACGTTCTTATGCAATGTCCGGGGGCTGTTTGGCTATGGAGATGGTGGGATCGCATATGGAGACAACCAGAGACAACCACTCCATGGCCATGGGGTTGGAAATCAATATTATTAGAATCTTGGGCCCCGGAACCTGTACATGACTTTACACAGAATATCTTCATCCTAGGGAGAAGAGCGGTCCTTTGGAGCATGTGGAAGAGAAGATGCACGTATGAATGGGAAGGGGCCCGCCTCGACGAACCAGAACTCACCGACTTAATTAAACAACAAATTCAAACGGACATCTCCTCTAAATGGGAACAAACGAAGGAAAAAATTCAACATTTATCAATGAAAAAGGATATCCTCAAACATATTCATAATTTCTGTCGATGTTGGCATGGGGGGGAACAAGGGGGAAAACTTGGAAAGGTTGTTTGGGAAGGAGGGTCAGAGAACGAAAACGAGGAAGTTCCCAGAAACTACTGCTTGGTATATGACGATTG